TGCTTTACATATTACATTTATTTTGCTTAATTTCTTCAAATCTTATTTTGTTACTTTAAAGGTTAAGTATCATCTAATTTTACTTCAATATTTATTTCAAAAATAATAAATTAAATACTTATATTCTACATTTAATAAAAAAACAATAATTTTGATATAATAAAGTAATCTTATAAGTTTTACTAAAATACATGTATTGAAGAAAAATTAAATAAAAATTAATTAATTAAATTATCTTATAATTTATATAATGAAAATAAAATAACACTAGTGATATTAAATTTAATAATATTTTCTATAGCTCTCTTTTTTCATAAATATATTTTCTTTATTGTTTTCTTAAATTCTTATAGAATTGATCGACCATGTTAAAGAAAGGGGGAGGGCAACAGGACACTCGTCCCAGAAGCCATGATTTTGGGGCGCTAAATTTTAAAGTACATGATTTAAAGAAAAAAAAATAGGGCTGAGGGGGTGCCAGATAAAAGTTTTGCCTCAGGCGAAAATTTTACTAGACACGGCTATACAGAAATGTACAAATTTCTATAATTTAAATTACAAAAAGTTTAATAAAATGTATAAAATGTTATAAAGATTGAAAACTTCGTTGCTCTTAATTTCTTTAATTGGGTTAAAAACATATTTTTTAATTTTCCATGTTTTTTTGCTTTTAATAATTAAAATATCAGTATTATTATTGTAAAATTTATTAGTTAAAACAATAATAAAAAAATGAAATTCTATTGCCATGGAAACAAAATTAAACAATTGAAAAAATTGGAATTAAAAAATTCATTAACTATTTTTTTAGTTTTCTCATCTGTCACTGTAAAAACGTCATTTTCATATTATTAATAAAACGATTATCATAACATTAAAAAATGAATGATTATATGAATTATTTGAAAAAAGATCCAATAGAACTTTCATCAACTGAAATGCTAAAATCTATTGTTCATCAAGATTCAACATGGTAAAAAATAAACTTTTTGATTCTTTTTTAAAATTATGAATTAATATCAATTATAATTATGAATAATAATAATAATTATTATTATTAATATTATTAATAATAATAATTATTATCTATATTAATAAAATCAGACTTTTGTCTGTACATTGCTCCAAATTAATTTTTTCTTGCATAGTTTATCATTTTAAGTAGTAAAGATAACAAATATGTTATCTATATTAATAAAATCAGACTTTTGTCTGTACATTGCTCCAAATTAATTTTTTCTTGCATAGTTTATCATTTTAAGTAGTAAAGATAACAAATATGTTATAAATAAAAACTCTGTCTGTCTGTCTATCTGTCTGTCTGTCTGTCGTCAATATTTTGTACCGGCACAACTTTAAAACGGCTCAACCGATTGAGGTGAAACTTGGCAGTGCATTCAGTCTTAACGTAACTTAAAATCTTAGCCATATTTGATTAAAAAATATTAACATGAACGAAAGTTATGACATTTTTTCAAAAAATTTAAAAAAATCAAAAAAATGCAAATTTTTTATTTTTTGTCAGATTGATTTGAAACTATTTGTATCTAATTTTTTCACATAAATGCAATCAATTTTTTTATTAAATTAAGTAAATAGTCTGAATTTAAAAGTCTAAATCAAATTTTTGAATTTCCAATTTTTTTAATAACATTGTAATATAAGAATTCGTCATGTTCAACTTTTTATAAGTAAAACAATAATGTTTTTAGTCTGTTGGGTATTAAACGCAATCTTAGCTGCACACCAATGAAAAATATTAATTTAAACAAAAATATGACACTTTCAAAAAATTTAAAATATTTAACATTTTTTATTTTTTGATAATTCTTTACTAAACGTTCTTTATTTAAAATTTTGTGACCAATTAAGTATGCTTTTAACAAGAAATTTTAAGAATTTTAATTTAAGAATTTTATCAGAATTTTAAAATTAATAATTGCAAATCTGAATATGAAATCAGATATTGTAAAAATAAAAAATCGAAAATTACTTTTTTACTCTTTGAAATTAACAATTATTATATTTAAATTATTATTATTATTATTGAATATTATTATTATTATTATTATTATTATTATAGATACAAATTATTTTTAAATATAATAAAACTAAATAAACTAAATAAACTTAAATATAATATAATAAATATAATAAAATTAAATTATTTTCATTTTATTTAAAAGAAATTTTTCTATTAAAAATTTATTCTTCAAATAATTTTTAAAGTTTTTTAAAATTTTAATTTAAATTGTATTGATTAAAATAATTTTTATTTTCAATACTATAAAATTAAATACAATTTTAAATTATTTTAATTTTATTAAAAGCAGTGAAAAAATTAAATTGAATTGAATAAATAATAATTAAAAATTTATAAAAAGATATTTTAATACAGGAGAACACGCATAGTTGGATGTAATTATAAATTTCAAAATTTATTAAATCTAAATATTATAACCGTCGAAGACGGGTGCGACAGCTAGTTATTAATAATATTAAAAATTTATTCATTTATTCATTTTGATTGGTATTTTTATTTAATAGTGAAATTGTTGGTGTTGTGGAATCCATATCATCCGCAGAATTAATTGGAAAGAAAAAAGATTTATTACTCCAAAAAATCGTTCTTGTAAATGAAGAAAAACAAAAAATTCAAATCAAAATTTGGAATGAACAAGTAGAACGGGTTAAGAGCTTCTTAAGACCAAATTATGTAAGATATTTTCTCATCTTTCATTATTTTTTATAGATTATTTTGTATTATGTAAATAGTTAACTGTTATATAAATTGAATCTTTTAAATTAAAAATTATTATATATATCTATATATAATTTAAGAATTAAATTATACTTCAAAAAAAAATTTAACTCTAAATTACTATTTATTATTTTAAATATTTCATTGTAAAATTTCATAATTAAAATTAAAAATATATAAAATATAAATTCCAATTAATAGAATTTAAAAAATATTATATAAATCACAGTTATTTTCATTTAATAAATTAATCACATAAGAATAATAAAAATTAATTATTTTATTTTATAAATAGGTATATACATATATATGTATGTATATTTATAATTGCAGTTTTATATAAATAAAAATATTTTTGAAAAATTATATATAATATTGAAAATATTTAAATACAATAAAATTAAAAATTTTATAAATCTTGTAACAATAATATATTATATAAATAAAAATAATATAATAATATAATTATTATAAAATGATTATTAGTAATTAAATTTTACAATTTAAATATGTTTAATAAATTTATAAAATAAATTAGGTTCTTCACTTTGATGGCCTTTCTGCAAGAAAATTAAATTATCTCAAACCAGGGGACTTGAGTGTAGAACTTACAGTTCAATCAAATACTGTAATTAATATGCTTGGAATAAATCAGGAAAAACCAGGAGATTTAGAAGATATTGAATTTTGTGACTTTGAAAATCTTGGAAAAGTTTCATCTTCAAAAACGATTAGTACGTTATTTTTTATATAATAATAAATATTATTTTTATATTATGATTATCTAAATAAGTATATACACTTTTTCATATATAAAAATAAGTTTAAAAAAAATATTTTATATTATAATAATTAATTCATTTATAATTTTTTAGAAATCATTGCATTCGTGAAGACAACTTTTAAATTAATAAAAGATAAATCAGGAATCACGAAATTCACTTGTGGATTAGTAACCAACGGTAAATACAAAATCGAAGCAAGAATTTTCAACTGTGATCCAAAACTTCAATCAGATTTAAAAATTGGAGATAATGTGGAATTAATTGCTAAAATGAATTTCGGTCGTAAGTATTATTTTTTAATATATATATATATATATATATATATATATATATATAAAATAGATTTATACATATAATAATATAATTAAAATGAGTATTTACTAAAACTATTATTTTATTTTAGATCCTTGCTTTTTAAATATAGAAAGTTCTCAAAAAATTAAATTATTAAAAGACACGAAAATGTCATTAGAATTAATAAATAAAGGAATCAAAAGGATACAACAAATTCAAGAAAATGAAGATTCCAATTCATGGAACCCAAAGAAAGTCAAAACTGATTAATATAAACAGATTTTCAACAATTATGAAATGTTTTAAAAACAAATTTATTTTTTGTTTCGCGTAAAAATCATCGTATAAAAGTATATATACCTTTTTTTATTCCATTTTAAGTGAATATATAATTTAATTAATATTCAATTCAAATTAAGAATTAACGAAATTAAAATCTTTATTATTATATCCATACAATTAAGCAAGCTGTTAAAAAACTTTTATGAATTTGATTTACTAAAATAAATAATTATTCAACTTAATATTGATTTTAATTTAAATTTTCTATTTTTCATACAAATTTTTTCAATATCTAAAATATTTTTTTTAATTTAAAATTTTTTTTTGTAAAATACTGATATCTTTACTTTTTTTAACAAATTAAATTTAATTTCAGCAATTCAAATCATCAATATTTTCTTATTTTTACTTTATATTAAGTAATAAAAAGAAACTATATCATCAATAAATACAATAAGTCAGTAAAATAATTAAAGAAATTAAAATCAAAATTTGTGTTATTTTTTGTAAAAAAACGTAATAAAGTAAGAAAAAATTAATTATTATATTTAATAATAACATTTAAATATACTTAAAATAACCTAATGAAAAATAATTATTTATTTTATTATTTAAAGGTTTTAGAGAAAATAAATATATTATAACTTTTACCTAATCAATTTTATTAATTTAAAATATACTTAAATATCGATATTTCCAAATTGAAATAATAAAAAATATCAAATATTTATATCAAATTCAATTTAGATTATAGATTTTTAGAATTAAGAATATAATGAATGAATGAATTTAAAATGAATAGATTTTGGGCGAGCAAGGGTATCCGCGTTGACAAATAATGCCTCATACATATATATATATGTATTTATATGCGTATGTAAAGAATTATAAAATCTACAAATATTATTAAACAAACAAATAGGTAATAATAATAGAAATTATCAAAATTATCAATAGTTATCACTATTGATTCACTATTTTATATGTATAATGACACTATGCAGTTCTTAGAAAAACTGTACGTGCCACTTAACAATTTTGCGCGAAACGTGCTACTAAACATTTTTGCGCAAAACGTGCCACTTAACAATTTTTCAAAATCCGTGCTTTTATTCTAAATCATCCCCAATAAAGCAATGGATTGAATAGTATATAAACCCCATCTCTGATCAGAGAAGATGTCAAAAGTTCCAGTGTATATCTCCGTGATTAATCTCATTGTAGAGCGACCCTTCAGTTAATTTCACGAAATTTATTGTAAACTTTTCATAAAAGTACAAGTTTTGTTAAGGTTTCAATTAGAACAAATTCTTTCCTGAAAAGGTGCAAGAGAAGCAAATTTAATACTTAGAACAAAGTTCTTTCCTAAAAAGGTGCAATTTAAATTTCTTTTCACTTAGAATAGATTCTTTCCTAAAAGGTGCAAGAAACAAAAACTAAATAATTACATTAAATAATTTCATTGATTTTACTGTCGTATTTTGTGATATAAAATATTTAACAATTAAAAGTCTATAAGTTGCTTCTCTTTCACATTTTAAAGGAATTCTTTCAATGTAGGTGTGAATAACGTGAGATGATAAATTTAAAGCCTGAAAGTTGAATATTATATCATCATAAAGAAACATTAATAGTTGTGTGTGTTACACAAGTGTGATTCCACAAACTGTGTTTTCATTATTGAAACAGAACCAGAAATAAATCTTATACGACGACTCAGCATTTCCATTGAAATCCGAATACAAGCGTAGAAGTGAGTAACCTTTACACATGTATATTATCATATGTATAAATAATAAAACATTAAAAAGGGGAATGTCTATCTATTATTATTGTTTTTAACGCAAGACCCATATTTTTTTTATAGTAACAACGATCCTACAAGATAAAAATATCAGATCTTACCAATCTGATTAATCAGCACAACCCTCCCAAGTAAATAAATAAATTATTTGTTTAAAAACCAAGCCTTAGCTCGGGATGTAACAGCTGATTTGGTGGCAGCGGTGGGATGTTTCTATTGTTTAATAAACAATAATAATTATTATCGACAATAAAATTTTTTTAAATTCTAAATTAATAATCTCTAAAATTTTACTCCTACAATTCGTTAATTACAATCATTTTAAAAATTTGATTAATATCCCCATAAATAAAATAAATATTTTAATTAAATAAATTAATAACGAAATTACTAATTCATTATTTCATTAATTTAACATGCTATGAATAATGAAAACTAAATTGAAAAAAGAAACTAAAGAAAAACTAAATATTATCAAACACGTTCAAACAAAAAATTTAAATATTAAAAACATTCAAACTAAACAAGAGTTTTCAAGATTCTTTGAAAATATTTTAGATAGAACTGACAAAATAATAACTCTCAATAAAGAAATAATCAACATATTAGAAAATTAAAATAAAATAATTTTAATCTTACATAACATCTCAAAGTAACTAAAAATTTGATAAATTAAATGGTGGAAACCACTTTTTCCAGAGAATTTGTGATTCCAACATTTATTTATATATCCGTATCACTAATTTATATAATTTTGTTTACGGTCATTTATTGGACAACTTACAATAAAAATTAATTAATCATACTAACTAATAAATAATTACTCATGTATAGTTATTTTGCTAATGTTGATTATAATAGATATAATTATCCATGCATTGAACTTATATCAAGCAATTTTAATTTAAATAGAGGTAAATTCTTAATTGATCATACCCTAACCATAAATTTAATTAAAGAATCAGCAGTGTCATCACTAGCTTATATTGACACAAATATTATTAATATTGCCCGTCAAAATACTGTTTTAACTAGAGGAGATGTCCATATAGAATTTTACGATTTTACAATAAAATTTGGAGTTGTTGATTATAATAGCGACACTGAAATTATTGGAATCCTAGGTGCCCCGTTCTTAGATTTCAATTTTTATTTTTCAAATTGGGCTTCAGATTACGAAGCATTACAAAGTGAAAGATTACGAGTATCAAGAAATATTTCCCGAACTTGTTTTTCTCTATTAACACCAAGGTGTTGTAATAGAAAATTATCTTAATATTATTGGTTATGAACAAATTATCCAATAACATCACCTTCAATATTGATATTTATCTAAAAATTCATATTTCATCTGTAAACGTAAAAGATTCAAGAGGTCTTTTTATAATAAATCCTTCTTTAGATGTTAATCTAATTAACGAAAAATATTTAACCCCAAATACAAAGATTAACAGATCAGAAATTGCCATTTTACGGCCAGGATCCATATTCACTTCTGGAACCACGCAAATATCAATTGCTCAAAAATTGATTAAATTTCATACATTTATTAACGATAATCAACCTGAATTAACAGGTATTCTTGGATTATCATTTTTAAATACTAATCCTAATGAATTTCATTTTTAAAAAATTTATATATTCAATCAATATAAATTTTAATAAAATTGTATAAATTATAGAAATCATTCCTAATATATTCTCTATTAATATTGATAATAATAATCAAATTCTTAATTTATAATTTCCTGAAAAACATTAATTAAACAAAGTTCATTTTAAAAGAAAGTAACAGGAGAATATGAGCATATAAAATTACATGCACATCTAGGCGCATATTTATGGGCTAATATTCCCGCCGACTTGAATTACTCATCGACGCCGCGTGCAGTAGATCGTAGGTAGTGTACACAGCATACGCCAGTACAAGGAGTTTAAGTTCAGGCGCGATCATTGTTACGGTCGCGAACCAAGTACATCGTAGCCGCCATTGACTTAAACCACTCACTGACGCCGCGTGCAGTAGACCGTAAGTAGTATACACACCGCGCGTCAGCCCCAGGAGTATTAAGACAGGCGCGACCGCCGTTACGGATACGGATCGAACACACGTAGCCGCCATTACACGAATGAACACGTATTTTCAATTTCTTGAGAAATATAACACATTATACCCAAAAATTCTTTTAAATTCTTTATTCTTTACACATAATGAGGGTATATTTTTAATAGACCCATCTTTACCAATAAATTTAATTAAAGAAAGCGAATTAAATCCATATTTGGGCATAAATCGAATAATAAAATATTCATTACGCGATAGTACCATAAACACATGTGGAGAAGCAAAAGTGTGTATAAATTATACTGTATTAGAATTTCAAACAATACATTGTGAAAGTAATACTGATATTGCAGGGGTTCTAGGACTCCCATTTTCCCTTGATATAATTAACGAGTTATTTTAATCACTCCTCCTATATTTAGTAAACCATTAACAACAATGGCTACTGATAATACTAGACACACTATGACCGGTAATATAGATAGAACCCTAAGCGATTCTATGATCACTTCCATGGCAGAATGTTTTGCGTTACAACTAGGTATGATGAACATTCCCTTTTATGATGGTAAAAATATACCCGTAAGAGATTTTATTGAAGACATAATAAATGGTGCTTCCAGCATACCAATCGGTTGTGAAGATCAATATTTAAAATGCATTCTTTCTAGATTAAAGGGTACTGCAAGGGATAGTACTTATGGTTAAACTTATAGTAAAATAGATGAGTTAATAGAACATTTAAGGCAAAGGTTTGCACCTCGCAAATCATACACAGGATATTTACAACAAATATCTACAATTCGTATGGGCCGCAGTGATAGTGTCAGCGAATTTTACGACAAAATATCAACCCTAATGGCAGGAGCCAAGGCAGCCCTAGTGGAAAAATATGATACGCTGTGTGCCGATAACATGATGAGACCTTTAGCAGATTGTGCCCTAGAATCATTTATTCGAGGACTCCCAGACTCCATGTCTAGCGCCATAGAAGCTAGAAATTTACAAACCTTGGACGAAGCATTTAAAAGTGCTTTAGAATATGAAGCCCGTCATCAATCATATAAGTCAGACTATAACACTTATCATTATTCACGATCCAATCAATCTAATGATTATGGAAACAGAGAAAGAAGCCTTAGTCCAAGGGTGCGATTTCCTTATCCTGTGGAACAGCCCAGATATTTTTCCCAACCAACAAGCCCTTCAGGAATATTAAAAAATCCCTATTCACCTCAATTTTCGGACACAAATAATCAACAACCCTATCTTAATCATCCTAATTATTTTCCTCCCAACGCTTACGTTCCTTACAATTCATACCCTTATTTTCCTCAAGTACCTCGATTAGAAGGTCAACATTATAAACCTAATGAAGGTTCTAGAACGCCTCCACGGGCTCAGTCTCCCCACTCCTTAGAAAAGGACAATTTAAACTCAAACATGGCTCGACGGACAGACGCGACGACGAGTGGAAATCTAAAAGAGCGCCCAATAAACGTGAGGATTCTACGATCACAAGAACCATCTTGCATGCAAGAAACTCAAGAGAATCACCAGTAATAAAAATAAGATTATCTAGTTTCTTAGAAACAACTGCATCATTACTAATTGACACTGGAGCAGATGTTAATTTAATAAAATTATGCGTCTTACAACCAGAATTAGAAGTAATTCAAGATGAAGCCATCCACATAGCTGGAATAGTTCCCATAAAATTTAAAATACTAGGAACTGTGCAAGTGGAAATTCATGGAAAATCAGTAACTTTCCAAACAGTGCCTTCAAACTTTCCCATTGAGTCAGATGGTATTCTTGGAAGAGAATATTTAAGAGAAGAAAAAGTCGAAATATCTTTTTGGCATAACACTTTAGTGACTCATTCTAATCCTATTCATCCTATATTCTTCTCTGACAATGAATCTAAAGAAGCAAGAGAAAATCTAACGGAAAATAAGACAAATAAAAGGCTGAATTTAACCATTAAAGCATGAACAAAACAAGTAATACCAGTTGAAGTATTAAATACCGATTTAAAAGAAGGATATTTACCATTACTAGATACAACTGAAGGATTAATAATAGGCGAAGGAATAGTAACAAACAACGATGGTGTATGTCATGTTTATGCTATAAATACAACAGCAGAAGACATAGAAATCGAAATTTTGCCCTAAGAACTTATACCATTTGAATTTTATAAGTTACCAGGTGAAGATTCTAACGAATATTCTTCAGAAGAAGGATATATAGAGCCCCCAGATAAAGTTACTGCTGTTATAGAACATTTAAGGTTAAATCACTTAAATGAAGAAGAAAAAGACCATGTCAAACAAATAATACAAGAATTTCCAGATAATTTTCATCTTCCAGGTGAACATTTAACATCAACACATTTAGTACTACATAAAATACTTACTTCAGATGAAATACCTGTACATACAAAGCAATATAGATTTTCCCCATCCCAAAAAGAGGAAATCGATAAAGTCATCGATAGGATGAAGTCGGAAGGTGCAATAGGACCTTCTTGTTCTCCTTATAACTCACCATTACTCATAGTTCCAAAGAAAATTGACGGAACTGGAAAAAAGAAGCGGAGAATAGTAATTGACTTCAGAGCATTAAATGATAAGACCGTAGGCGACTTTTATCCCCTACCCCATATAACTTCTATCATAGATAATTTGGGCAAGGCCCAGTACTTTTCTGTATTTGATTTAGCCAGTGGATTTCATCAAATAGAACTAGATCCAAAAGATAGAGAAAAAACTGCATTCTCAACTACACATGGACATTACGAATACATTAGAATGCCAATGGGATTAAAAAATTCAGCGGCCACCTTTCAAAGATTAATGGACCAAGTATTAATTGGATTACAAGGTGCTGAACTATTCGTCTACCTAGATGACATAGTAATCTACGCTAAGGACCTAGAAGAACATGGAAAAAAGGTGCGAAGATTATTAAGCAGACTTAAGGAAGCAAATTTGTCCTTGCAACCTGAAAAATGTGAATTCTTGTTTAAAGAAGTAGCATATTTAGGACACATAATAAGTAGTGAAGGTGTAAAACCTAACCCCAAAACGATAGAAGCAGTTAAAAATTTCCCAACCCCAAAAACACCCCGAAATGTAAAACAGTTCTTAGGCTTGGCTGGATATTATAGAAGATTCATAAAGGATTTCTCAGCAAATGCAAAACCTCTGTCAAACCTATTGAAAAAGGACATAAAATTTAGTTGGGGACCAAAAGAAGAAAGTAGTTTTAAAGAACTAAGAGAAGCATTATGTACAAGCCCTATTTTACAATACCCAGATTATGATAAACCATTTACCATAACCACTGACGCATCTGATTTTGCGATAGGTGCTGTTTTAAGTCAACAGAAAGACGGCTTTGATTTACCCATAGCTTACCTCTCTAGAGTATTAAATGCTCCTGAATTGAACTACTCAACAACGGAAAAAGAATGCCTAGCTGTATTATACGCTGTTCACAATTTCAGACCATATATTTACGGAAAGAAATTTACATTAATTAGTGATCATGAACCTTTAAGATGGATAGATACAATAAAAGACGCTGGACAAAGATTAATAAGATGGCGACTAAAATTGAGAGACTACTCTTATGAATTTCAACATAAATCAGGAAAACTAAATACCAATGCAGATGCATTATCCAGAAATGTCATAACTGATGATTCAGAAGAAGATTCCCAATTGGAAAGAAACAAGTCACGAATCAAAATATTAATGAATCGAAAAACTGATAAACCTAAACCACCCCCTAGACCTAAACCAAAACGAAAACCCAACCCAATCCCAAAGCCAGCTCCTAAACCAAAGTCAATTTTAAAACCACCTCCATCCAAAACAAAATTATATGAAAGTACTATAGCAGAAAGAGTAGCAAAAAGAAGAGCTTTACAACCTAGAGTCAAAATAATCGAAGATTCGACTAATGATGAAAGCTACAATGAAGAAGAGATTGAAATACCTGAACCCCCAATTCAAAAACCAAGTAGAAGTGTACTTCCCAGTCTTCAACTTCCTCCAATGTCATTACGAACGGAACCAGGGCCAAAAAGTGCACCTCCCGAAATAGTCACAATGGAAATACCCACTATAGAACCAGAAATAATAACTGGAGATCACTCAGAATTTTCCAAAAAACTAGATTTTTATTGGGATTACGCTAAAGGTGAATCAATATGGGAACAAAACCCAGAAGAAAATCCAGAAAACAAAAATACAGACTTAGAATACGACACGACAGAAGAACAATTAGAAGAGATTCACACACCCCACCATATAAAAAATCCTAAAGCTTTTTCCACACCGTATCACACCTCTCTGTACGAACAAAACGAATCCACTTCCGAGAAAGAAACCTCAGAAGAAGAAAGTGAAGAAAAAGAAACAACTAAAAGAAAACCAATGATAAACGTATGTTTAAAAAAGTTAGAATATATTCGTTGAATAGTTAGAGGCTTGTATGTCTCGGTTTCTTTTTCATTTCACGCTCATTCCAGTTACCTGAGAAAAGGTCTTAGTTTTATAACTAAGCAGGTATTTTGCAATATTATTGACCAGTTTCCCCTTTTTTCCTTACGTCATGCTCATTGTGCCCATCCAGGTAAAGTTTTCCCTTCCCTTTGTCCTACGGGAACGTTTTTCCCCCCGGTTTTCATTACAGGCTGAAGAAGGGGGCATCCTTCTTGAGACAAGGAGAATTGAGTCAGTCGATGAATTACTGTGGTTCGAGAATAGTGGTTCCTGCCTTACGAGTTTTCTCCATCGCTTGCAGCTTGGACGGTGCGTGTCTCTGGCAGTTCAATCTTGGGGAACCTCAACGCTGTGGGTTACTACTATTGGTGAGATCGCTCAGCTCCCACGTGCAGGTGCTTTCACCTGGTGGGTGTACGGCACCCCTTGTGTATTATATACTAATTTAATTGATTTTTACATATATTGTGTTCTGGTTTTGTGTGAATGTGTTGTGTTATTGAGTTATACTATTTTATTGTTGATTCTGAGACGAGTGAGTTCTTGAGACCACGAGGTGATCACCATGCGATCCTCTTGAGAATCGTTCGATCGCATGGAATCATTGATCGCCTTTTCGGTAAACTTTCGCGAGCTGACCTTTGAGATCCTCCCATGAGATTCTTTCGATCTCAAAGTCGTCTGTCTCGCCCGAGGCTTGAGACTTTTGCCGGTCCTCATCTTTTGTACTTTTGAACGAAAATAAAGAATAGTTCTTTAACTAAATATTCGTCAACTTACTTATCCGACCTCACTACCCCTATCCCTTAACAACGTATCATTATCAAAAATTCAACCTTCAATTTTGCCTAAATATGCAAATACAAAAACTAAAAATATTACTAGCAGCAGAGAAAATCTTACATATTATAGAATCAATTATGTTCATTTTCTAGCAGCTGATTGTGAATTCACCACACCAATAAGTAGATTACTTATCGATATTGGAGTACTAGACCCATTAGAAATAAAGGCAAAAAGACCTATAAAAGGACAAATTTATGTTACCCCAAGAGGAAAACATAATATCTACACCATAATTGTTAAAAATAATCATTTTGAACCCTTAATAAAAGAAGATATTACGATAGGAATGCGTAATTTAAAAAAACTCCTTTATCACGAGAAAATAGAAGAAATACATATTTCTCGACATGGAGATATTACTGACGAATTAATTAGAGGAGAATTTCTCCAAATTATCAATTCTATTTTCGAAAATAGCAACATTCAAGTAACCATTTGCTATGGACAAGTATCAGTACCAAAAGAAGAAATTAGAGTAGACATCATTAGTGAATTTCATAAAAGTAAAATAGCAGGACACAAAGGAATAGTTAAAACATATAGAAAAATACGTGAAAAATTTTATTGGCCAGGAATAAAAGAACAAGTAACTGAATTTGTAAGAAGATGTCCTACATGTCAGTCTCAAAAACTAGTACGTGTAAAAACAAAAGAACCTATGCTTATAACCGATACTCCTCTAGACGCATTCGATAAAATTTCCTTAGATACAGTAGGAAAATTACCCACAACACCAGACGGGAATTGTCATATCCTTACAATGCAGGATCACCTGTCAAAATATTGCATAGCTGTTGCAATACCTGATATTTCAGCAACTACTATAGCCCATGCGGTTGCAAAATAATTATTTTCGGTCTACGGAGCCCCAAAAGTAATCTTAACAGATAAAGGCACTTCATTCATAGGAAAATGAATGTCAAAATTGTCAAAAATTTTCAAAATTCAACAAGTAACAACATCAGGATACAGGCCCCAAACAAATGGAGCTTTAGAACGTAGTCATGCCGTATTGGCAGAATACATAAAACAATATGCTAGAGACTATGACGACTGGGATAGATTATTACCCTTCGCCATGTTTGCATATAATACTTCCGTCCACGAAGCTACTAATTTCACTCCATATGAGTTAATTTTTGGAAAAACCGCTCGTACCCCTAGCTCCATTCCTCAAGAAGAAAAATTCGAGACATATGGTTCCTATTTATCCGAATTAATAAACAGATTAATAGAAATAAGGGCATTAGCAGCCAAAAATTTAGGAAGCGCGAAACAGAAATCCAAAGAAAGGTACGATAAAACAGCTAAACCCTTCAATGGAAAAGTAGGAGACAAGGCTTACGTATTGAAAGAAGGTCCTAAAAGAAAATTTGACCCCCATTATCACGGCCCATACGAAATTGTTAGTATCTTGGATAGAAGTAACGCAATTTTAATAAATGAAGATGGTCAAAGATTTCAAAAACACATAGATAAACTAAAACTAGCTTATGAATAACAAGAACTAATAAATTTTTAATTTTTAGATGTTGGAGACAATCCTATTTACACCACCATTACAAGAAGAAATCATAGAGAGTTTTAAATTCCCAAAAGGGGATATTGCAGAAATTAACTATCCAAAAGGAATTCTAGAAGAAATAACGGCGGAATACAATATCGACAAACCAAATTATTCAGTAATAATACAAACCGGCCCTAAATTTAATAAGTTATGGCAAGTTAAATGTACGGTTACGGATACAAAACATGGCAATGTATTTACGGCAATAAGCGACGAAAATAGAACCATTAGAGAATCCGAACATTGTGCAGCATTGAAAATTTTGAAAGAATTAAATAGAGTCTATTATTTTAGTGAGGAGGAAAAACAGAAAAATATTAAGGGTAGAGTCCACGTAATGGCCATTAATGAACCTAATAAAATTAAATTAAAAATGTTTAAATGGGAAAACTGTTGCGAATATTGTTATAAAAGAGGCCATACAAAAAACAATTGCCATGGCATCATTAGAAATAAGAAAATCCAGAAACAGGAAGAAAAAGAAATAAATAATTCTGTGGAATCAATAGATTCTGATGAATTTTGGAACCTACCAGGTCCCTCAGTAACATGGGAATAAATAATAACAATAAAATTAAGAAAAATAAAACTTCTATCAATTTTGAAATAAAAATGTATAATTACACATCTTATAAATAAGTAAAATTAAAGATAAATCATTATATTTTATAAAATAAAATATAAATAATAATAATAATATAAATAATTATAAATATAATAATTATTTCATAATAATCCTAAAATATAATAAATAACTAGAATATAATAAAATAAATCTCAATATGAAGACACCTTTAAATTAGTATTGCAGAATCACCGCAAAACCTAAAGGCGAGAATGAAAGCTTAAGGCTGCCATTTGCGTGAAGTTAACCGCAAATGACAGTCCCCATAAAAAATAATGATCTAAACATAAAAATCAATATAAAATAATATATAAATATAAAAATAATATATAAAATAAAAAATAAAAAATATATATATATATATATCTATAAATAAATAAAAGAATATATAAATAAATAAATACATATTATATAATTAAAATCTAATTTTCTAATAACTAAATAAAAACAATAGAAATAGAGAAAATAAAAATTTTATTTTTAAAAACCATACAATTTATTTTTCATAGGGCACAACACCCCGCCCCTTCTTAACATATCGCCCATTAGGCAACAAAAACACCATGACATTCCTCAGGGGAGGGTGTATGAGCCTTCTCTCCCCCTCCCCTTTGACAGAGACTAAAAAATTAGAGTAAGGTGGACCTGAAACAAAAAAAAAGGGGGACATAAATGTAAAAATATATAAAAAAAATATATATATAAAAAAAAATAAATAAATAAATAAATAAAACGTATATGCTTACATATATCAAAAATTTATGAAACAAAACTTACCCCAACGAGAGGCCACCTCCAACCGGTCCACCCCCTTCGGACCCTCTTTATTATTTTCAGTTTCTGAAACGAAAATAATAAATACAATTAAATATAAACTATTAATAAAAACACATAAAACTATTAAGAAAGGTAGATATAATTAAAATACTCACGTGTATTCATCTCAATTAGCTGCATTCAAATGACTCAATTGCAAAAATTGCTGACCGTTGCACATTTCAAAAAGATAACAAATAAGCCCTATGCACTACACAACAACAAGGATAAAGAAGTTACCATTAAATAATGTTAATAATTTAAAAACAAAAAAAAATATAATAATAATAAATAATATACATATGAAATAATAAATTAAACCCCATAAATAAAAACATCAAAAACACCCAAATATATTTAAAACAGAATTCAAAAATTTTTATGTTACCTACAGATAATCATACTATAACTTACCTAATAAGGATAAAAATCAACAATTAATAAAGGATAATGAAGATGTAAATAATTTTAAACTATTATTAACTAATAAGAAGAAGAGAAAACACTTAAATAATATAAGAAAATGCATGAACAATTATGAAGTATGAACAATGCACGAATAACAAACATAAATGTTAAAATTCGACGAATGGCAAAAACTATAATAATCATTATAATAATTATTAAATTATAAGAAATGTATACATAAAACTATAATAAAAATGTAATAATAAATTTAAAAGAAGGACGAAGGAAAATGAAGGAAGGGGATTTGGTGGTCGCCTTCTTCTTTCCTCCTTATTTAAAAAAAAAAGAAGATATATACATCAAATATTCATAAAATATTCTATTTTACAGATGGAAATTCCATTTTTGGGAATAATCACCGATACTACTTACTACATATCTATGGCAATTAAGATATTAATATTATTAGTATCATTAATAGTCCTAAAAAACATTTTTATATGTTATAAAATGATAACAATGCGAAGAAAGAGATCAAGAAATCAACCAAATTTAAACAATCCATAAAATAGATCATTGGGGTCAATGATTATTCCAAGGAGGGAGGACCAGCCCCAAAAATCCCCAAAAACTTTCATTAAATAAAGTATCTCTCCAAGCTAAACTATCAAGAAAATATGAAAAGAAAAGAGGCAACAGTTTTCAAACCTACGCGCCAACCTAAAACTTGTACATCGACCACATATATCGACCCTAAAAATTTCAAGACCAACACCACAATGGCCACTAAATGAAGGACATCAATACAAAAGAAAAATGCTTATCCAATACATATGAATAAGTATATAAAACATAAATAACAAATATATAACATTTATCATCAATACTAATATTAAATAATTTAATTATTACATAATTATAATAAAATATAATAATTAAATATAACATTATATATAAATACAACAATTATCACCATTAATACTATTAAAGATTGAAATAATAATAGAAACTAACAATATATAAATCAATATTAATAATAAGTAACAATAAAAAGCAATTTTACTAATTAAATAAAATATCTTTATCCCACCTACTTCAAAAAATCATAACTTTCTTAAAACTTAATCGATTAACTCCACTAAGATCTCATTTTGAAGGGGAGGGATAGAGTAACAAATGTAAATACATGTATTTTTTTAAAAAACTACCCTCTTTGAAATACACCCCTTCAAAAAACCCGAAAAATGAGAAAAATGAAAAAACAGGTATAAATTTCAGAAGAATTTTTTTTTTCAGGCTTTCATAGTAACATATGTTTAAAAATATTGCAACCTTTGTAAAAAAAATTAATATTAAAAATTCAACCCGAGGGTGCAGAAAAATAACTAAAACTACCCCTAAAAACCAAAACCTTTAAAAATTAATAAATTCGCTTGAAAATTGTTACTTGGGGGTTTTCGGGGTCGCTGATTACGAATCCGATGTCCGTTTTCAAAAATTCAAAATGGCGGATCCAAAATGGCGACCGATAATTATAAAAATTTACTACATTCGCGTGAAACTTATCACTCGGGGGTTTTCGGGGTCGCTGATTACGAATCCGATGTCCGTCTTTAAGAATTGAAAATGGCGGATCCAATATGGCGACCGATAAATATAAAAATTCACTGGATTCATGTGAAACTTGTCACTTGTGGGGTTTTCGGGGTCGCTGATTACGAATCCGATATCAGATTTAGAAAATTGAAAATGGCGGATCCAATATGGCGGACGAAATGATTAACTTTCATTAGATTCATCTGAAACTTATTACTCAGGGGTTTTCGGGGTCGATAATTACGAATATGATGTCAGTTTTTAAAATTGCAAAATAATGCTGGTGTCATTATTGCCTATTAATTTTGTAGCTTTTAGTGCCTGTTGTTAGGAGTTTAGTATGAAAATGAAAATTACAGACGCCATCGTGGAGGGGAGTGAATTGAGTATGTACTCAATGCATTACTCAATATGATAATAATCAGTGAAAATTATTTTTTTGTTTGTTGAAAACTGAATTCAGTATCAGTGAAAATTATTTTTTTGATTGTTCCAAACTGAGAATAGTTATGAATTAGGGGTGGGCTTGAAGGGTAGGGCGTGAGTTTATTATTATTATTATTATCTATGTCTGTGTAACTTTCAAATAATTGTTTATAATTTAGAAGCAATTAGAATCTATAGATTTTTTTTAATCATTTACAAAAACTTTCACCGTCAAGGGATTATTATTTTACTTTAAGGGTGTTTTGAAGGGGTTATTGATCGTTTTCAATTTTTAAGCAACCAGGCAATGTTTATAAATAAATAAAAAGTAGATAAGAGCTGAAAAATATTTAATTCATCAATTTGGTTAAATATCAGTTTTTTGGGGTAGTAATGTACCGTGGGGGTGGTTTTAAGGGGTGAGACATGTTAAAAAAAATTTTTTCTCATACTGAATACTTTAGTAATTAAATCTAATATACATTATAAGTCTAAAGTAACGACAAAAAACTCGGCCATTAAAGGGTTAATAAGAAGTTACGAAATTCATACGTAACAGTATGATTTTTAAGTCTGTTTTCTTTGAAATGCGAGACAAAATACTGAAATAAAAAAAAAATAAAAAAATTTCAATTGGTTCAACTATTATATATCTACTACAAATTTTTTTCAAGTTTTTCCATCCCTTAATACAGTAATATAATTAAGGAAACGTTTTTCTTAAACCTTTCGTAGAAACTATGCTGTCACCATTTACCTCAAATTAAAATGTTTTTTTAAATCTTACTGTAAATAAGAACAGTCAGTTTCATACGTTTAAAGCTTATCTAAAGTTATTTCTGCTGCATAAAATTAATCCTGGGAATGTAAATAACAACTTAAAAAAATATAAACCAGCAAATATTACCTTTTAAAGGAAGAAACTTACGTAATTTGTGAAAAATAGGGATTTTGTCCCCATTTACCCCAACTGACCCAAACTTTAAACTGCATACGAATTAATGTTGAAATTCATTTGTACTTGTAAATGCAGCTTATATACAGTTTCAATGTATGCATTTAGTTTGTGGGCACCCCAAACCGCCCCAAAAAAATAACGAAAATTTTTTTTTCTATATGTAAAAAATAAAAAAAAAATTATGTAAAAAATAACGTTAAGAAAAAACCAAAAAAAATTCAATGTACAAAAGAACAAATTAAAAAAATTTTTTTTTCATTTACAAAAAAGTTAAAATTTACAAAAAATAAAAACAACATTAAAAAAATATAATGTAAAAAATAACAATTTTTATGTTTTGTACAATATAACTTTTTTATGAAAATTCTTGTGTAGTTTTGATACCGACTCCCCCCGAGTAATAAGTTTCAAGCTAATTGGATGGATTTTCAAAAAGTCATCAGCCATATTGGAACCGCCATTTTTAATTTTGTAAAACTAACATCAGATTCGTAAACAGCGACCCCAAAAATTCCCGAGTAACAAGTTTCAAGCAAATTTGAGCATTTTTGAAAATTTTGTACACTAGGTCACGATTTTGGAAAAAATTTCAGCTTTGGACGCCATTTTTGGTATGCCATCTTAAATTAAAAAAAAATATATATTGCTTCATTTTCATGATTTAACATTTAGGACACGATATCGTAAGGTTTCAAGCATTTCTTGATACCTAATAATCCCAAAAAGAATTATTTTCAAAAAATTTTTTTATAAAATAGCGTTTTTTTCAAAAACATGGCTGTACCTTTTTTTTAATTTTTTTGAATTTCAATTACGGATTCTGAAAGAGCGACCTTAAATACATAAGGGAAAGTACTTCGAAAATTAAAAATTTTTTTTTGAAGAGAAATACGTCAATGAAAATCGAGGGTGTACTTCCGAAGTAGGGGTACCTCCGATCTTAATAAAACTTGGTATACTAACGTATTTTGGAGCGCTGATTACGAAAATGATAGTGAAAATTGGCGCAAATTTGATTTTCATGGTAAAAACCATAAAAAACACCATAAAAT